CCCCCCCATACACACACCGCCTGTTTATGTCGTTCGCAGAGACTAGCAAAACGATCTGACGGACGTCTTCCTTGTCCACGATGATGCACAAGAGCGGCAAGGCACTGATCCACAAGGGCGACAAGCATGCTGACAAGGCTGTGAGTCTAGTGGAAGGCGCCCAAGAGGTCCGCGAACTGTGCCGCACCGCCGGACTGAACCACAAGAACGTCAAGAACGCCTTCAAGGCGGTCGTGGGCGGCGGAGTTTTGGCGTTCGCGTCTCACCGCCACAGCACCCACGAAGAGGAGCAGATTCTGGCTATGATGGTGCGCGTGCGTTTGTCGCATCTGTGTGCTGCGCAATTTGGTTCTGACTGTGTGTTTTTTTCCTGATTCTTGAGAAAATGTACGTACAACCCGTTTGAGAAAAAACGAAATAACCTCACTCACAGGGGGATGTGTTGGAAGTCTTCACAGTTACTGGAAGAAAAACCAGCTGAATACTTATCTCCTTCAGCCAGAGATACCGGTAATTAATCCTTCGTCTGGTTTGTCTCTTGCCTCCTTCTAAGCCAGAGACACCGGTGTGTTGTGGTGGTACCCATCGCCAGTACGCATGCAATTTGAATGCCTCGTCACCCGCTGAGAGCGGAGCCACCATGTACTGGTGGTACGAGAAGGGCAAAAGTTGAATCACCGGAAACGTAGTCAGTACTCGATGAAAAAAATCCTGGGCTCATTATATTATCCAAGGATGCAAGCAGGAGTGTATTTGATTTTTGGAGGTTGCAGTAGAACCGTGCATCTAATCGCTCGCCACTACTAGAATACTGCTCTGTATCTAAAGATGGCACGGTCTACAGGTACGTCGATGATATCGGGTGTACCAAAACCATGTTGCTTTGAACACAAAGCCGTTCTTTATTCTACTTTCATTGCGTGCGAGGGGCGGCCTGATGGCTCACCGAAATCAGTTCGCCAAAACAACGTTCGCCCTCTATCTTTCTAAACACACTTTTCGCCCCGCGTGTTGGAACAACCAACCACCAGAGCGGGCCGGGGTCGAACGCGCTAAGGGTCCGCGGCTTCAGCATCTTGCCCTTCAAGGAGCACGTGAAGCGGGTTTCCCGGCGCTATGACAACCCCGACTCCCGCATTGAAGCGATGGAAGCGGTGGTGACCTCCGTGAAGGGGGCGTACTACCCCTACCAGGTCAACGTTGCAGCCTGGGACGTCGGCCTGGGCATGGAGGAACCCGAGTGCTACGACATGGTGGAGAGCGGCACCGCGAAGAACCCGGACGGCCTCGCGTACCGGTACGCCGTGTTCAGGGGCCAAGGCGTCATCAAGTGGAAAGGTGAGCTCAAGGCAGGGAGTTGCAGTAGTTGAAAGGTATACTGAGAGTACCAGAAGCCGTGACGTCGTGTGGATGACGAACCGCGAGCGAGTCGAAACTCGCACCGCATCCTCGGCCTCGTGGGAATCATCATATCTGGTATATATCTATCTCGATAGCCAAGGGAAGACTGCCGGCAGGGTGTATAGCAAACCGGAAACGCTGGTGCGTGGGGCGCCACAAGTCAGGTGACGTGTCTCGAGCACGAGGTCTATCCGATGCTCCGATGCCGCCCCTCCTCTATGGTATGACTCACGCATCTCCAGCCGTGAATACAAGCGTCCGCTTGGATAGCCGACGAAGACGATATGCAGGGGGGGGTGTCCCACGAATCTATCATGGGATGCGGCACGCGATTGGCCTCTACCTCTAGCACCAATCCTAGTCGCAAGCAATTTCCGCCCTCGGTGATAATATGTCGGTCTACATTGTCGAGCGACTAAACGCATGGGTTAAAGTTGAAGCGGCCATTTCGACGGTGATGAGCGCCTTTTTTTGGTGGGTGCCGCCTCCAGAAACTCACGCCTCATCGTGATGTTCCATGGGTGCCGTTCCGTTGCCCCTATTCTGGTCCTGTTAACCATTTCTCCCCCCCCCCCCCCCCCCACTTCGCCTT